GTTGATTGATTGTGGAGCCACTTCCCCACAGGGGGTGCGTTGGTTGAACCCTAGGCTCCGGGGTGGCGCCACTATACCCGCTTTCACCGGGTCGTGGGTGGTGGACGGGGGACGCTGACATCGAGGTTGACGCCAACTTTGGTCCGCCGCAGGCTACAACTATTTCGTTGTTGTAGCCCACCACTTTTACTCTCAGTTGCATATCACTCGGAGCTACATAACCCCACGCCGAACACGTGAGTCGACTTCTTCGACCTGGCATATTCCAACACGCCTTGGTAGCTTTGATGGCACTCGAGATCAACTGGAGCATTGATAGCATCCTCTACGCTGACAACTAACTGTTTTGCCGCCGTGAAGCAGTCCCCTTTACCGATAATACTGGAACGCTGCTTTTGCGCCTGGCTAACACCACTTCACGCGATCGCTCAATCGAAGCCGCTTAAAGGCGCTCAGTGCCGCACGCGAGTAAACCCTTCTGACGGTCCAACATAAACTTTTTCCAGTCATCCGCCTGCCCTCCCTGATCAAACCTCCAGACTCTGTACCCTTTGTTGGCATTGAAAGCCATGTAACGGTCATCCCACCTCGCTGGTTGTGAAGAGATGATAATGACTTGTATCCCCTAATCTTCACCAGCAGTTTGCTGGCTTCCACAAGGCATTTGGTGAATCGATGGGGATACCCAACCCGTGGTTCGCCCCCGCAAACGCTTTAATCCGCCTTCGGTTTTAGTCTGAATTCGCTGCAAATACGCTCATAGGCTTCAGCCTATCGTGACTTGTTGTTTAATGGGTTCCATGCATTGTCCTGTGGGATGCGGACGCTTGATTTCTTTAAGGATGCGCCTGACCTGGTAGTAATATCGCGGAACTTGAACACAGACTGACTCCACGTCCACGCCGAAAGTGTCGGTCAATGTCACACCACACCCCGCCAGCGCACTACCACACGCGGTTGACTTGATTCTGCCAGAACTGCATCGGGTTGTTGAACCAAAGCATGAACTACCTTAGCGTTAGTCACCGAAAATTTATACAGGCTGAATACATCTAAAAGCTGGCGCTTGAAATACATCCCATCAGCAACCGCGATCTTCATGGGTGAGAAATCTATGTCCAGTTTAGGGTAAAACACTCCAGGGGAGTAATGCAGGATGCTCCCTCCTTGGGGAATACATTTTAAAACTATTATATAATGAGCATATATACCTAACATGTACATAACACTTCCAGGAATAACGAGCGGCGAGGCAGTTCAGCTGGACGACGCTGATCGATCGATAATACGCCCTGTCAACCTCGAAGTCGACTCTGCGATATCACCTACCTACCGCGAATGGACTCAACATCAACGCCAGCAACAATAAGCTGTTCGTTAGTGGAACTCTCGCAGCCAGATAACTGGACGGCTACTACAGCGGTGCTCGCTAAGGTTGCATGAGGTCTTCAAACCCCCCGGGAGTTTCAACTCAAGCATTGAGAACGACTCAAACGGCACAGTGGTGTTAATCAACAACGAAGAAACTCCTTGAGGCTCGGGCCGCCATTGGCGAAAACACTTCGAAATGTCACCTGGACGGTGATAAAACCAACAACAACCGCCACAGGCACGAAGTTACCCGACCTAGTACCGCATCGAGAGCTGTGGCTACATTCATCTAGGTCAGGTGAGCACAACGCATAACATTCAAGGGGTCACCCTTCCACTATAATTGAGAGCCGTGGGCCGTGAAAACGGAAACAATACAACGATGGTAGAACCGAAAGTCGCTTTCACCACGGCAGTAGAAAGAGGTTGACTCAGGGTAACATACCTGAGCTTGATAATATCGGGTTAGATATAAATCATAATCCCGTTGAATATAGGATACCTCAGCTTAACGCTCACATAAAATGACCAGCGACTGGGGCCCGGGTGAAAATGCGCACAATGTGGATCTCGACACCGGGACACCGCTGCCTTCGACGCTTCCCGAGTAGATGGTAAATTGTACTTTGCAACTGAAAACAACATTTACAAACGCTGCTGAAGTCCTCTTCTCCGTGGAGCCCTAGGTGATATAGGGTAGATACCGCAAGAGCGGTTGTCAACACTTTGGTACACCCTTTGTCAACACCGGTGATGATAACTGGATAATATACCCATCATTCGGGGCAAATTGTCTCGACTTAGATCGATGTTGAGAGCACTACCGTCAGCCCAAACCAGCCATATACACTCGCCTTCACCGAAGATGACAAGTGGGTGTTGTTACCCGATAAAGATTCGACTGGTTTCTCAATATTAGGAGCCGGCTCCCCTATGTGTTCACGGATAACAAAGACAACCACCTAAACAAAGTCGCTATCAACGTGGAACCCTGCTGCTCGTGGCTTTACGCCCGAACTCAGAGACGAAGGTGAGTCATCAGCCCAGTCGCCAGTATGGCAGCCCACATGCCATCGGAAGTAAAGCGGGCATGCAAAGCGGCGTGACATTGCAGTTGGTGTCTGAATTTGAAGGCGGGTCAGGATACTAGAGAGTCTACCGTGGGCTAACTCAACACTGATCATCAAAGTCTACCTAGGGGAACCATCGGGGAATGATGTCGAGATCGCGGAAGGGATCAAACTCCTGGGTGGGTGAAACGACACCAGTATCACGCTTTGCACAGTTTACGCGGGCGGGGTGGTCGGCTCCAACACCAGTCTGTAGGGTGTCACCGCGGATCGGGGAAAACACTATCACTAACCAAGATCTTCCTACCTGACAACATACACTTCATGTAAAGGGTGAAGTTAACCCTGAACTATTCATCAGAAAACCAGTTGGAAATTATATCGTAATAGTATTATAGCAATGACCAGTCATCACCCCAACACCACTACTTTAACGCTACCTAGGGGACAACGGAGGGATTCGATCAGCCCGGTGAGGAAGGCTCATACATCCTAACACTTGAAAGACAACGCGTATAGGCGGGCAGCAATGGTCGATCATCTCACCCAAGCCCACACTCGAGGGCTTAGGGGACACCGGAGGATTTGATCAATCTGGTGACGACATATACCTCCTACACTTGAAAGACAACGCGTGTATAGGGCGGGTGTCGTTATCATATTTTTAAAGAGCCTAAATGGTTACTCAACTTAACCCCTCGCCTCACCTTATATCTCATTAGACAAAAGATGGTTATGTCTCTGAAATTAAGCAAACAACGAGGTGCCTTGATCACGCTCTTTCATTCCAACTGGAAAAGGATACTTCTTGACTAATATTTCCCTAGGGACACCCTGTTAATTTCAACTCCAGGCAATCCCCATTGTTAATAGCCACCCACCATCATAACATAGTAGGGGGTTAGGGCTATGGAACCAGGCTCTACTAAGCTCATCATCGAAGTCCGCTCACAAGGGGTAGGTTTGATTCGAATGAACATATCCCATCCCCAAACTTCTGCAGATTTTACCCGTGTAACAATACGCTAGGTGACTTAACTGCAGGAAGTGGTTTTATACGTTGCAGATTCGGCTTATACGATTTTGAAGCTCCCAACAGGGATTACTACCCCAATAATATACTGCTTTGGCGTTGAGATATACCAAAAGTTACCTATTGACCCTTCCCTTATCTACATATACGGAGAATCTCAGTTTTATAAACCCTCAGGTACATTGACCGACAACTAACTGAAACTCAATTAAAATATCTTTGTATATATATATTATAGGATGGGGCTGTACCCAGTCATAGAGGAAGTAGCGAAGACCCTGGAAACCGTGAGACGGGTTCCGCTTTGAGGCAGTTATGTGATGTGAAACGCCAACTAGAACAAGATCAAGCGACACACACGTAAAAGCACTTGGTGTAAAAAGTACCATAGAGCTTTCAATATCGTGGACGGGCTGACACTGCCCTTATGGCAACCAGCATGGGACTAGGGCCGCAGGTGTTGGGTTGTTAGCTACCATCGTGGCTGCACCTATAGTGCTAGGCATTGAAATAACAGCTGGGGTGGCAGGGGTGTTAGGGTTGGCTTTTAAGTTGGCATCACGCAGACTGCATCGTGAAGGCATTGAAACATGATGGGATCAGGGTTCTGGCAGAAGCAAAGCTGAACACAGTAAGTGAGCGTATTTCCACTGCACTCACTGACAGTAAGATCTCAGAGGAGGAATTTCTGTTCAATCCTCTGAACTCACAAAATATAACGAAATGAAACAAGAGATTCTGGTCCAAGTCTCGTAAGTCTGCTATCAGCGCAGGATGATAAAAAAAAGTACATAGAACAAGGTGTAAAAAAAGCCCGCAAGCCTTTATTACAAACACCAAAGAGATCATAGGCGCATTCACATTAAACTGTTTCATCGAGGTAAACATAGCATAGTTAGACGCAGCCCAGTATTGGATGGGGCAATACCCGCATTTCCCCATGCCCCGGTAGCGCTGCTAGAGGTGCGCTCGCATCCCCCAACTTTTGTAGTAGGGTAATGGTAGCAAGAGCTAAGGGTCCCACCAAAGCCTTACTTGTGAAATAAGGTTTTGCAGAGGCTTTGGTTGAAAGTGATCCAGAACCGCTTATCAGCCCAAACTTTTTCATAGTAGGGGAAATGGTAGCAAGAGCTAAGGGTTCTGACAAAAGCCTTACTTTTACCAAATAAGGCTTTGCAGAGGCTTTTGTTGAAAGTGATCCAGAACCCCATTGTATATACTACTCTATGAGCCATGTCATCTGTATCTATTGACCACCACATGTATTGGCGTCGTCAATATAAATATATGTCAAAATATTATATCCAATTTCAATTATCATGGAATAATAATTCATACAAAATTCATTATTACCCCTACAAGAAAAATATTAGGATTCAGATATTAGGAAAATATAAATATAGAATATTAGTTTCATCATGATCAGTAATAGCATAGATAAAGACTCCAGTCAAAAGTAATAAAACTCATCTCACAGACATACTATTGAAAAAGGTATAAGGTATAAGTTACAACTGCATTGTTACCTGTGTTTATCTAATCCTGCCCCAGGTTCAACAAGGAAAGCCAGCACTGCCATTCTGTACATGTGGTCAGCGACACTCTCAGGACTACTTCCACCACAAACTTTCTTCCGTACCCAGCCAGTACGACGTACATGCTGGAAAATATATGGTTGAATAGATATGAAAGTATAAACAGAATTACCACTAACACTGTAACAGATATTATCACTTCTTTTAATAATTGGGTTGTGGTTGGGGTTGGGGGTGTACAAGTAGTATGTTGCCTGTACAGAAAATACCAGGTACTGTAAAACACAGTTGGGAACATAGTTAAGTGGCCAACATTTTTGTGGCTCCATTAAGTGATTGTGATCATTGCCACATAGCAGATTAAACAATGGACTTTCTGGAATAGAAATCACTTGGTATTGTTGAACATCAAGGGGCTTTCTTATGTCTAGTGTGAATCTGGATACTGTCATGAATGAGCATGCATGCTGCTGAAAATACTCAAATTCATATTGATACAATGACATGGCAAGGAATGCCAAGAATGTTTCATATTTTGTGAGTAACTATGACCTGTGAATAAAATTACTCAAAGTATGGCTTATTTAATGGCTGTATTTTTTTTATGGATACAAAAGCTGATCTGACATCTTTTTGACAATTTCTGTTATCAGCCAAATGATAAACTGATATGCAAATTCCAATGTTTATTGTAACAAAGGACTTAGGCCCGTATATATGAAGTGCATATAACACAGTACAGGATCATTTTAAGAAACAATTCATGTCATTTCAATACGTTTCTACTCTTATAGGCATACATGAAAAATAACTTAACATATTTTAAATGTTGATAGTTTGGGGTTGCCAGAAGGTCAAAGGAAGTATTTTATTTCCATACTCTTTCAGATTTTGCAATTTAATGGCTCCGAATTTCAATATTTAGCCATGTACATACAACTCGAACATCTGCTTCAAGGCTAATCTTAAAACTTGTACAACATTCACATCTAGAGCTAGATTCTAATATATGTCCATTCTTGGTTGAACATATATTTAGATCTGGTTTGAAAAATGCTAAAATAGCTCTATATCTAAAGACCAAAGCATGAACAACACCTGAACTAAATAAAACATGTCTGACATTAAGGAGTCCAGTTTTCTTCACCTGTTGAATCAAGATAAACATTTTGTAGGCCTCATATTGTATACGATACCTCAGAGGTACAGATAAGCTGCGTATCTGAGCAAATTGTGCAAATATTTATGTGAAAACTCAATTCCTATTATTTCTATTGCGTACAAGTACGCTTGAAGTTTTGTAAATACTCAATACATTTTATCTTGCATGCGTACACACAAAAATGTCAAATCTTAGCTTGCGTACCGGTGGATAGATAAAATAACTGAGGTATATTGAGAGGTTCTATTTCAACACATGCAGTCTTTCTTATCGTTTCTCATATTACAGATCAAATATGAATAACAAATGCGTAAGCCAACATTTAAACTTTATTATATCTTTACAATAAAGGGAATATGGCAAAATACCCAACTGAGTTTGAGTGAGGTTGGTACAATATATTTGGCTGCTCAAAGAAAAATAAGGATACCCAATTGAGATGAACACAAGCGAGTACATAACTCAATGACCCAAAAGCCATCTGTAGCTCTCATACCTTTCCATAACAAAGTATGAAGAAGGTCAAATACCAGATTTTGAGTTTATATATGGCAGTATTTGACTAGATACAACAGGCACATACCAAATAAATTAAACCTACGGTAACTAATTATTTCTTTATCAGATGTATTATTTGTTGAAATGCCCAAATTCCGCATGTTTGCATTAATTATCAGGGTTCAGGAAACACACTTCATTCGAAAACAGCCAGTAACATAAATCTTCACCATTAATCTAAAGCCCCTTTTGATTAACTTGGCTTTCCTGGCAGTTGTTTTGGTATTAACAAATTGTGAAAACTATGTGTAATTGTTTAAATGGATGTTAAAGTAAATATCCTTATACATGATATTGTGCATATTCACTGAAGGGGGGTCAAGTTGTACATATTAATGTTTCAGAATCCTGGCCATATTCCTGGAGATTGTTAAGCATCAAAGCCACAAATAACACCAGACACAATCACAATCACCAATTTTATCATTCCAAAACAAAAAGCCAAGTACCATTGACAACAGCTTTGACAAGAAAGCATGGAAGTATACTTAGTCCGATATAGCAGAAAGCTTTGGTGACAGCTCAATATTCAACAGTTGAATGTCTTGTGCCAGATAAAGTGCTTTGTGAGACTGACAGAGACTACTGACCATTGAATCACCATACTCCTTGTCAGTGGTCAGCTTAGAATAATACAAAATAATACAAATGCTTCTAAAATCCTGTACACCCTACTATTGAAAGGCGATTAACTGCATCTGACATGAATTTAAAACATTAAACTGCAACAGGGATTTCTGCCTAGATAGGTGCAATTTTTAATTACTCAGCCAAATCAAAACTTTACAATAGGGACATATTGGGAAATCACCCAACATCTTTACAGCTTTGCATGAAAGCCTAAATAGTAGAGGCAGACAAATGAAAACCCCTTGTTTTCATAGCCCAACAATTCATGGTGCACATTTTATTTCATGTTTTTGCGTTCCCCATACTTTTTCAGTAGCCCTACTTTATTATACCTGCACAAATCACTTTCAATGCATGCACACATAGGAAATTTATATTTGGAATTAATTTATGATAATAAACATGAATATCGAAAACTCCATCTGATATTTCCATTTTTTCTTACTTTTGCAGAGTATATACCAATAGAAAGAAATAGCTAAAATATATATGAAAATAGAATTTGTTCACAGAAGAAGTAAACACATGCAGACATGAGTGCCACAGGAAAACTTTAGGGACCTGCACAGTTGACTAGGCAGTTGTCACCTGTCAGAATACCTTTCAGAATATATTCAGCTTGGGATCCCTACTTCCAAAACACAGGGGAGTGCCACTTCTTGACCTAATTTAGAAAAAAAAGCAGGATTTGTAACCTTGATGCATGGACTGAGATATGACTCTGACCAAACTGTATTTACAGAAGTTTGTAACCACAGACGACCTCCTTGAATGATGATATCTTAGTGTGGAGTGAGGGCTCAGATAGGGGCAAGCTGCCTGAAGTGCTGGAGTTGGAAACAAGACAGGGTATTGGCAATGCAGTTCTCTCTATCTGGTACATATTTTCCAAAGATGAATTATTTTCCACAGCAGTTTGCACTTACAACAAGCTGTTCCATTCTTTTGAGAGAGGGAGACCTATAAACTATCAAACAATCTGCACACATTCCCATACTTCATACACGTTCACTGCCAATCCAGTAGATTACTATGGACATATAGTCAAACATCTTTGGATTAGATTTACATCCAAAGACTACACATGTAAAAAATACATCCTATTGTCCAACTGCATGCCACAGAGAGGGATGAATAGGCACTTTCTTGAAGGCATCTTCTATGTTGAATTTACACATCCAAGAGTTAACACCTCATAATTACTCAATACGGTAAACTGCATATTCTAGTTTGACATATGACATACTTAGAGAACACGTCCTTATCCATCAAACTATTGAGACTGTTTACTTCATGTTTGTGTGGAGCTGACAGATCAATAATGATTCTTTTCTTTAGAGAATATTTACAGCTGGAGATTCTAAGGGGGATTGATCTTGAAAGTTGGAAACGGGTACTTGATGAATGGCCCACTATGTCATTATGTTTAACACATCCAGCTCTAGGCAATACAGCAACATCACCTGGATCATCTTTAGTGGTCTTGTTGTTATTACACAACATGCACGATACAATGTAGTAAATAAGAAAGTACTTGGGAAGATGAAAGATGAATGTGCTGGGACTCCTATTACAGAGTATGTCGGATTAAGACCTAACATGTATTCTTTAAATAAGCTGACACCGGCGAGATAAGAAAGGCTAAGGGTGTGAAGAAATATGTCGTAAAAAAACAAATAAACCACAAATAATTCAATGGTTGGACATTCAAACATGAAATGAATGCTTTGAAAAGTGACAAGCATAGGATATATATGGTTTAAGGTTGAACAAAACATCATTATCGCCCATGAACACAAAAAGATGGATTGCCGATGATGGCATAATGTATAACGACTTACGCATATGGATACCTAGGGGAATAATACTGTATCACTAGGTGCTATGAGTAATTCCTCTCACACAAACCCCCTGCCTGGACCATCCTTCAGGTAATACAAAAACGGTTTGTCTTCTTTAATATCTACCCGGTCAATGCTGAATGTTTTGATGGACCAAACTGGGTCAGTTGCGTGGCGCTGACACCCCTCAAGTTTACAAGGCTGGTATAAATACCTTATGATGACCCGACCCGAAAGTTTCTGCTTATTGCCCCTGCACAGTGCAAATGATTCAGAAGTCACAGATTTCATTTTTAATGGCATCAGATAGTTCCTTACCGATTAATCTAGTCACTTTGTTATTCAACGCTGACACAACTGCATTTAATGTGTCACCCATTCCATTGATTGTTTATCGGGCGTTACCATCTCCTGCCAATACTGATACACAAACGAGCGTTCAGCTAATGTTTGATTAAATATCTCATCAATAGCTTGGCTACGATGAGCCCCCACTATTCCACACCTGACATTGACCTTATGCTTTGCAAGCAGCTGCAACACAGATCCCATGAAATTGCATCCCGGGTCTACTTGAAATTCTTGAGGCCTTTTCAAAAGACTTTGTTTGTATATATATGCGACAGCGCATTAGCCACTTCAGTCAAATCTTTTGTGGTTAATGGCTCGGCCTCTTTGAGGAGTGAGTGAGTGAGTGAGTGAGTGAGTGAGTGAGTGAGTGAGTGAGTGAGTGAGTGAGTGAGTGAGTGAGTGAGTGAGTGAGTGAGTGAGTGAGTGAGTGAGTGAGTGAGTGAGTGAGTGAGTGAGTATGGTTTTTCGCTGCTTTTAGCAATATTCCAGCAATATTACAGCGGGGGACACCAGAAATGGGCTCCACACATTGTGCCCATGTGGGGATTCGAACCCGGGTCTTTGGCATGACGAGCGGACGCTTTAACCACCAGGCTACTCCAACGCCCACGGCCTCTTTGTAATGACTAGCCACATCCACTTCGGTCCAAGCATATTTATAAGTTTTACATCATACTTTATAGTGTGGAAGAAACAAGAGATCGGCCTGATGTACCTGATTAGTCGTTGAAATATCAAACTTCCTCCTGGGTATATATCGTGGAGCTGGTAAGTATATTTGCCATATGGCTTGTTTCTTTAACCTATCCTCAGCTACATCTTTGGATATCTTATCCACTGCAGTTAGTTTTTGCATCGCTCCTTTCCCTTTTCAATATCCCTGTGGGCTGTAGTAAATTTTATCCATTTTAATAAATCATGATGTTTACCTTTAATTTTAATACACCCTCATATTAGTGGGACATCATTCAATGTCCCACTATTTGACCTGTTTTTGTGGCTCATGTGGGGGTAGATTTGGGGCGAAATGGCTTGATAATGGGGGTTGCGGTAGAATCTCCATTCAGTATACTACTCCTTCGAATCATTACTGAACAAATATAGCATGTGAAAGTGGCTTAAGTGCAAGTTCAGGCCAATTTCCATAAGCCGATTTTTTCTACATTAAACCATTTCACTGTGTACTTTCTGTGTTTTTGTGCGGAAAAAAAGTATAAAATATGCAAAAGAAAAAACAACAAATGGTACATGCATTACACCGAACATCCAGATCTACCTACATGTATATATTGGATAAGGTCCCTTACTCTAACCCTGACCCTAAACCCTCGAAATAATCCTAATAAATAGATTACACTGACGAAAATGGTTGACCTGTCCAGTATAATGCATTCTTACAGCTATGAAAAATATAATTTCATTTCTGAGTAATGATGCAAATTACTGAATGAAAAAAATATATATCAGGTACCATTTATAATTCATTTCGTCCCAAAAGTTACCTTGAAACCAAAATATGAAATATATTTAAAATAAAAGTGCTTTCATAAACTGGCGCTTGCTGTAACATATTGTAGGGACCGCAGACGCCGCTAGGGGCTCTAGTGTAGCTATTTTTAGAATTTTGGCCATGGACAGGCCAACGTTTAAGGTCCAAATACACATATTTTGACTAAAGGTATGCGATTTCTTTCATGGTATAGCGTTGTACACGTTCCGGTGCGCGTATTTTGCAAAACTAACATCTGGCGACGAAAGATGAAGCAAGGACGGTAAGTTGAACTTTGCTCTTTGTTAAACGTATGCCAAATATTGTAAAAGTATTTATTTTCTTGAAGTATGGGCAAATACGTTCAATATAATTATTAATATACACGCACAAAAAGTTTGGTATTTTTAGGAAGTATATATAACTTACTGAAATGAGACCTTAAACTTTTCTTGTGTCATTGCCGCGAATCTGCGTACCTCGGTCATTTAGAGTTATCTGCCTGTGATATTCAGCGGGAAAGTAGACGCAGATATTCAGCTATTTTTTCACAGCGAATGTTTTTATAAATAACGCCTTTGTTTATCAAGTTTCCTGGATTCTCCTGATCATAGAACATTTTTAGGTGAGGTGAGGTGAAATTGGGTTTATCGTCGTGCTTGAGAATATATCGCTCATATGACGACGTGCATGCGTGTGTATGTGTATGTGCGCCTGCTTGTACTAGCCCAGACTGAAGCTGGTTTTATAGTGCTAGCCCACTGAGATACCATGCCGCAGAGAAGCATGAATACCCCACTCAGACACATTATACTGACTCCAAGCCGACCAGTCCTTGTTGTACCCATTAATGCCGAGCACCAGGCAGGGACCAACAAGTACCATATTTTAACATCTTTTGGTATGACGCGGTCAGGGATCGAACCCGCGACCTTCCCCTCTCCGGGCGAACGCTCTAACCACTACACCACGGAGGCGGTTTGAACATTTTTAGTATTGTGGTAATCGTATTTGAGCAAGTTACTCTGAACTGAAGTACAAATTAACAGGAATTTGTCACTCTTGTTTTGTTTACAAATTGCAATTAGTAACCATGGTAACCTGAGTATGAATTTTTTTCAAACTATATGCATGTAAACAATCCCCGTCTCTCAGCAAAGACAAGGCCTATTACATGTTCATTTTTGTGTGTTGAAATAGTGGTAACACTTGCGTGTATAATAATGTTTTTTTTTACTGTATTCACTTAATTAAAGCTGACTTATAGTTATTGAAAACCAGAATGAATGTATGATGGAAGGATAATTTTTCTTACCTTAAAAAATAATTTTCAAGAATCAAATGAGTGTTTTATTAATATGATTTCATTTTGAAGTTTACACAATAGTAAAGAGGAATTTTGAGAAGTAGTTTGGGCTCAAAACCTTAGTAAAAGCAACATGACAAAAATTGTACTTTTGTTCTTGAATGCATGTAAATAGACATGGATAGGGTGAAGTAAGTTTAATCTGAACTAAAAGTGACAACATTCAGTGATACTATGTGAATAATTGCTTAGAAGAAAATATAATATGATAATAAACATGATTTTGTGACTTGATCTTGTCTGTTTTTGTCTCACAACGATATTTCCATGCAGACACATACCAGTAGTTAAAAAAATTATGAATATTTTCACAGGAAACTTTGGGGAAATATGCAACAACATCTGCTCAACAGACTGGAACAGTTTTTTCCATCAAAACTTACATTTCCTTGGAGCAGTTGAGTGGCCAAAATTGTTTTTAAAAATGCGAAAATGGGTGACGTCGACGGTTCCGCTTGGGGCACCACTGTGGCCTAAAGCATATACATTTTTGTAAAAGAAACATTATTTCTTTACTTCTCAGTGGTTACTAGACCTAAAAAATATAGGCAAAAAAAACATCCCTTATATTGAAAAATTTGGTCTGCGGTCCCTACATATTGTGCCGCCGCCGTCCATGTTTAGTACACAAACTCCCTACATCGCTTGGCTTACTCAATGACAATGCGAATAGAGACGACAGAACACTGAGAGGAGTTTTAGGGGGTTATGGCTATAACGGAACCACAGCAGAACGGCACCAAATCTGTTCGGCGAAAACGGCACCATATTGGCGAAAACAGCTACTGATTCCTTGGCTAAAACAGCACCATATATAAAACAAAGTATGACGTTGACTCAATTCGTGCATATTTATGTTATATGTTTGTATCCGACAAACCTAAGTCAAAATAATAAATAAATATTACGGTAACTAATTAACTTATCCCAGTTTATTCTTCACTTTACAGTAACAAAATTAGGGAAAATATATTTTTATATTTATTCTAAACCACCCAATTTTACTAAATTTTCATGTGTGACAACTCCAGTGGCTGAAGTGCAAATTGGATTTTTTGGGATTTTTTCATAAGCAATAAATATACAATTTCAAAACTCATTAGCCATGTTATATTGTAAAACTAGATATTTTAATATATATGTACGTTAAATAAATATTATCTTTGGAATTTTTCTTTTCAAAATGATGTTACAAATTTCAGTGACGGCAGTGACACAATTTCAGGAAATTTCTAATAAAAATGGTTAAATATGAAAAATGAAACATCATTAGACTTGCATAATTTATGTTGTGTATATTCAGAAAAAAATATTATGTTATGTATACCCAAAAAAGAAAAAGAAATCCCAAAAAATCAAACAAACAATGGGTTGTTGTTATTTTCTTCATTTAATGTCGCACGCACAACTAAGTTATTTCGGCGACAGTAAACAATGAGTACATTTGTGCGTTTGAAATACAATTTCATTTTTACACTGTTTGACACAGGGCGATTTCAGTTGAGTAAATGTACTTAAAACATCAAAGGTTGCGATGTTTTTACGCTAAATTGTCGGCACAGTAGATGTATTTACTATCTCATCATTCTGCAATCCGATTGTCAGCTATGGGATGCCCATTTCAAATCACTGTCGGCACAGTAGATGTATTTGGTTTAAACATATTTTTATTTCGTCAGAGAAACCTGGATTGGCGAACAAGCCTAGTGGCTTATATAAACGCCGCTCCAGTACATTGTTTCATTAGCTGGATACATACAGTGGAAACCTGATAAGTAAAATTTCAAGGGACTCGCCAAAATTGTTTTCTTATCAGGTATTTTACTTATCCAAACTTATCAAAACCTGCAAATGACAACCATATGCATGTATATGTATACAGCAGAATAACAGCATTCCACAATTTTGTCCGAATTTCTACAAAAATGAACATGTCAGGGCTGGCTTCCAGTTGTCAGTGTATTGTCAACTGCATGACGCCAACGAGCTGTAAGTAGGATGTTTGTTTACCTGGAGACTGACACGTGCCCCTCATGTCGGATTATGTGGCGATCTCTAATTTAGTTATCCGGTCTCTTTTGTTAAGTAATTTACTTCCAGGGACCGTGAGAAAACGTTTAGTTAAGCGGTATTGTTTACTTATCCGAGTTTAGTTAACCAGACTCTAATAGTGATAATTAATGAAGAAATTTGCCGGGACCAAAGAAAAGTGTTTACTTATCAGGTCTGTTTAGTTAAGCGGTCTTTACTTAGGCGGTTTCCACTGTAATTGAAATAATTTACCGTATAAAGTAGTTTTCACATCGTATCCTTGAATATAAAAATACATTGTTGTTCTTAAATTTTGATAGTTCCGACATAATAGTAGGTGCATTTACCATCTAAACATTCTGCAATCCAATTATCTAATAACAAACTAGTTTTTCCCATAAGATTTTAGTTGGTGCCGTTCTCGCCATAAGATTTGTAGCCGTTTTCGACAAGTCGAGGTTCCGTTATGTCCAAATGGTGCCGTTTTGGCCAGGTGCCGTTTTGCTGTGGTGACGTTTTAGCCTGAACCCGTTTTAGGCACAACAGGAACAGTCCGACTCGGATGTCAAAGAGCATTGTTTTGATAACAAAGTTTCACAAATTACGTCATAAGGTATTGTGATGTAATTTGTAAAGTTTGTGGTGCTGTTATTTTAAAGGTAGGCTGCGAATATTCAAACCCGAAAAAGTGCACATATAAAAGTGTGACATATACACTACTTTAAAATATTAGAATAACCTTTAGCTTTCCAACCAATGACATAAATTCCATCATCTTTGTAAAGTTTTCACTCATTTTCACTGATGACCTGTGCACAGTGCAGTTTTCGTCGGCACGCTGGTGTGAGGAATAAGTTTTCACCCGAACCAATCATCCATTCCGTTAGTTATTGCACGACTGTAAACGCCGTTTTCATTGGTTACCTTATCAAACATGGCTGCTTCCATGTTGTACGGCTTCCATGCTCTCCGCAAAACGTCAGTGTTGACATTGACCAAATGTCATTTCGGTTCAGGGAGTGGTAAAAGCACAACTATTACAGATGAAGGAATCAATAACAGTGCGAATGAATCTTCAGTGAGGGAAATGACCGAGTCAGTCTCCATGGTGTATGGAGAATCATTGCCCGGAGAAAAAGCATTGCATGGTTTTGCACGAGCTATGGGAAAAATAAGTGAAGAACGGGTCCGAATTAATACCGGAGAGCATCAGGAATTAGATATGCAAGACGAAACATTTGCTTCCATTCTCCGAAAGTCAAAGTTGATGCAAATTGGGGATCCATCGAGTCGTGTTGTTGCAGCAACAATAATGGAGACTGTTGGGGATGATTTATACATTGACTTCGGATGTAAATTCCACTGCGTGTGCGAAAAGGCAAAGTTAACCCCAGAGTAAGAAAATGTTTGTTAAAAGGTTGCATGCTTTTATGAGCGAAATAGGAAATGTCAGAACTATAAGAATGTTATAACTGTGGCAGCTTATTTGAAATTACTGATTCTTTAACATGTTTAATGAACAGTCACAATTGGATATTGTTGGTTTGCCACAAATCATCTATGGAAGACATAGAGATTAGTGTTGGGAATTGACTGAGCTACGTCCACACTGTTGCACAATGTGCAAATTTATCGAGTCATTCCTGTGACGCCACGGAAATGAACAGAAAGAGTCGAATAGGTCACGGAGAATTACGAAGGTTACAAGTAGACTTGGTGTCTCGTGACTTTAATCTACGGACAATTGCCGAATGGATTCGATGCCATTTGGCACACTCATCCCATTCCGTAATCTACAAGATAACGCGTGGCGTGGAATGGCGTGGCCAATTTCCACTAGCCCCATTTCATGAAGTGTACTTTTTTCGGCGTGATTTTGGTTTCCAGAAAAGTTTTGTGTGTGAAAAAGTATTAAAAGGGAAAAAGAACAAATTGTATTCACATATTACACACCGGACCAACTATATTGGATTAGGACCCTAAACCCTCAGCCCTAACCCCTTGAAATAATCCTAGTAAATACAATGCATTGACCGAACCGGCAGTATTAAATTTAAAATGCAAAAGGAAAAACAACAAATGGTACTCGCGTATTACACCGGACATGTACCTACTATATTGGATTAGGTTCCTAACCCTAAACCTAAACCCTCAGCCCTAAGCCCTAACCCTAGCTAACCCTAACCCTAACGTACCTAACCCCTTGAAATAATTCTAATAAATGCATTGACCGAACAGTCACAAACATGACTGACGTGTCCAGTGTAATGCATTATTACCCGCTTCGAAAAATAAAATACTAATAAAAAACTGGCAAATAATTTAGACTTAATAGTTACTTAGAAACCGAAATATAAAATATATTTACATAATTTAAATAATTACAATGACCAAAATTGCGAATAATCGAATATATATAATATAGACCGGTGTAACGCATTCTCGCGAAATCTAAAAAATACAAAAAAACAATAATACACAAAACATAACACCTCAGCACCCCGTAATACAAATAAATATGAGCGTATTGGTGAAAAAAGCAAAATATTTCAAACTGGTGCTTGCAAAAGATTGCGCATCTGCCGATATACAACTACTGGAAACTCTCAACATCGTTGGCCTTATGCAATGACATAGCTAGTAGAGATGAAACACCAGTGAGTTGCGGCTGAAAATCACATTAATTAGGGAGCGCGCCCACTCCGTAGAGTTTTTGTGCTGTGTAAGCCAAGGGGTTACCTAAAGAAACCCATCTCAAGTTTGGAGTTTGCATATCAGGAGTTGGTGCTTTCTCCTGGCCTCCTTGGGTTATGCGTTTTCCCGGTGGTAGTAGTAACGGGGTAATCTGCGACCCGCCTACCAACCGTGGGATTATGCACACAGTGAGATAGGGTAAGTTTAAAAATTTGAAAATTTTATAATAAATTGTATATTTATATACTTATCCTATCTCACACGATAGGACCCACCCGACCTGTCCCACATCACAGATAACTGGAAGCTCCAGGACGAGAATGACAGGTAGAGGTGGTCATGTGATCGTTTGGGCGAGCCGCACGCTTTGGTGGATGATTGACAGGCATTGATGTCGGGGTGAGGGCAGAGGGCAGAGGCCAGAGGCCAGAGGCCAGTTAGATTTAACTCAACTTAGCTGACGGCACGTTTCCACACATGGTCGTAGAAGATAGAGATGGTGCATACCGTGAGATAGGATAAGTATATAAATGTACAATTTATTATAAAATTTTCAATTTTAGATTATTTTAGAAATAACATAACAGTTAAGATGTTACACACATTTTGTTTTAGTTGGAAATCAAGAGAAGAGAAGCTTAAACCACAGGAAGTGAACAATCTTGTTTCTGTTTTTGCTTGTTTATATCACTATATGTGCAAATGGGTTCTCACCAATTTTAGTTGTCAGTTTTACAGTTCTAAATTGGTGCTACCAGTGAAGGTCCGGTTTAGAATGTACCTTCAGTAACCCATGCTTGTGGTAAGAGGCAACTAACGGGATCGGTGGTCAGGCTCGCTGGCTTGGTTGACACATGTCATCAGTTCCCAGTTGCGCAGATCGATGCTCATGCTGTTGATCACTGGATTGCTGGTCCAGACTCAATTATTTACAGACCGCCGCCATATAGCTGGAGTATTGCTGAGTCCGGCGTAAAACTAATCTCACTCACTCACTCGCTCACTAAACTGAGGCAGATGAAAAGTACATGCCAAATTTAAATTAGTGAATTAAAAGTACAGTCGAGCACCGTTGTGTCGAACTCTGATAACTTGATATCTCGGTTGTCTCGATATAACATCTCGGTCCCGGCAAAATCCTTCATTAATAATCATTATTTAAGCTCTTTTAACTCGATACGGATGTCTCGATATTTCGGATATCTCATATAATTTCATGGTCCCAACAAGCAAAATTACCCTTTTAACTCTATATTTGCAAAGAAACTCGATATTCACGTACCTTCTATGGGCAAGTATCCCTCTGAACTGAGGTTGTTTCCACATGTTTACACATGGTGCGGCATGAATCAAAGGGATGCGGTAGTGTAAACTAATTAGGGCTAATTGAGTTGAAGGTGTCACCTATTTGTTATTTAATTAGGATTAATTACGAAGGAATTAATTAGGAAGTAGTCACTGTTACGACTAAACACTACTGATAAAGGATTATAGTTTCGAATCAAAACATACTGAGAATCCAATGAGGGTTGTGTGTAATCACATGACTACCATGTGATTGTTGAGTTGTTTCTAAATGTTGTATGATTCAAGATGGACACTGTAACATGTGCTGTATCGTGTGTGAGTAAAAATGTATATACAGATAAGTATACATGAAATCTACTTTTTGTTTTCTTTCATAGTGATATGTGATGATATGCCCTGGTCGGATGTCTCAAAGTTTGGATAACTCGATATTTTTTCCTAGTCCCATGAATATCGAGACAACGGTGCTCGACTGTATTAGTGAATTTCAAAAGCATCTCTGCTCCTGTTGGACAAAATGTCAATGCAAAAGCTAAACAAAGCAATATGCATACATCTTCCAAGTAACTGTTGTATATGGGGGTTAATGCACAACTGATTGATACCATTTGAGTCTCACTTGGACAGAGGTGATGTAATTACATTTAAGATATCAGGAGAAGGTGTGAGTTATAATTCCTACTTTAATGAACTGTAGCCATGCATATGAACTATTTGTGAACTTTGTCTCTTTGTTTTAATTTTATCACCAATTGCCTCAGAAGTGCAGCATAATGCTCTCCCCTGTATTGTTTGGGCTCTAGACAGTTCACCATGATCACATGCAAGGTATCCAAGAACACTGAGGTGATAACACTTCCAGCTGATGCAAGGGCATTTGTCCTCTTAACTAGTGGTGATGTTAAACGCATCCACTGATTTTATTGCTTTTTGAACTCCAGAGGTGGTTGAAGTTTCATCCATACTCACACATTCATGAATTTGATTCAGAAAGGTTTCTTGCAGGTAGAGCTTCTCAGAATTTATCAGTTGGACCTTGTAGATGTGTCATCCATCCTGTCATCAATATTGCTAGGCTACATTGCCTTGATGCTAGTTTTATGTCAAGTTTAGGCATATAGTTTATAGATGGGGATATAGGTTTGAGCTCCGTCCGTCCAAGATGATGTGAACAGATTTTCTCAGAAACCATTAAGATATGGAAACCAAATTTAGTATGTGTTTTCGGGACACGAATGCCTAGATGGAGTTGCCGTACCTCCATCTATTGGGGACTTGCTTCCATTAGAAATCTGTACTCGCATCGCAAATACTGTACTCTCATCTCCAGTATATGACATTTCATATCAAAAGTCTTTGTCGTGTCTAACCATGTCTGGAAATGAAGTACATTGTACTAGTGACGGGCGGAGGAAACAAGGTGATGAGTTTATTGACAGTATGGGGCCACTGGCCCATTATACAGATTCAAGATACAGCGTATAACATAATGAAGTAACTGAAATATATAATATACATGTGACTGCAGAAAACGTGATAGTAATCTAAATCCTAAGAATACATACTTTGCAAACAGATAATACATGGATATTTTTAGATGCAATCAATTGTTGAAATTTTATTTATGAAGGAAATGTATAGTAATATGTAGGAATGATAGAGCGTCTAAGACCATTATAAAATGGACATACTAAACAAAAGTGGATGCACGACAGATAAACTTCAAAGTTTGCCTTGTGTTTTATAGAACGGTACAAAGTTAGTTTATTATACGTATGGAGACCTTCAAACCAGTGTTTGCTTATCTCTATCTATACATTTCTACTTGAAAGATGATATGGACCGATTATAATACCAACATCCTGATTTCTCCACACTTCACCAAATCCATAATTAAACAAAAACAATTTAACCTTTAATGTACAACAACTCAAGTCCTTATTTGCTAGAGACAACTGGTGAGAACAAACTTTCTTAAGAATAACATTAGCCTTATCCAAAACTTTATACCGTAATCTTCACATGACAGTTACTAGGGTCGGACAAAAAGTAGCCAGCCTCACCTAGAAAATGATACAAATGCAGGTGTTTTTATGTTTTATATTTCTACATATTATCTGTCAACCTCAAGCAAATTGGTTTTGGCTATGTTCCAGTCTCACAACCCCCATTTTGTTTAACTTTTAGGTTTGGTAACCAAAAAAGGCAAAATCTGCAATTAATGCATCACAAACTTAAGGAAACAAAAATGCAAGAAACATTTTGTGTATTTGAGATAGGTAGAAGCCTGCTAGAATCAAACTTAGACATTAAGGTGCATAAAAAGCGATTTGAAACTACAATCGCTTGTTAAAGTGACTCCCCCTTCATGTTTACTGAAAGAGCTTGTTTTGGAGACACTACCCACCCCCTTTCAGATGACATAATCATAAGTACATAACTTATTCTAATGTTTTCACATTAGCCAAGGGTTCCAACTAAATACTGAATGGTCACACAAGTATCAGCTCTCAGTATATTATAAAGAGGGCCAGTTTGAATATCTGGACACAATGTTTTTGAAGGGCTAAAATGGGGGTGTCCTTAAAAAACAGCCCCGGTCTAAATCTAAATCAAGCAATCCAAATCTTTGACAGTTGATTAATATGACAGGAAGTCATCCAATACTGTACTGAACATATTTTCTTTTATCTTATCTGAGAGCAGACCATTATCCAAGAAGTACCAAATGACAGATCAGTTTTCATTTTCAACAAAAAAAATTAAAAACATTATACCCCAATGTGTTGTGATGACTAATGTCTTGTTAACCACATTACCCACATGTGAAATTTTGGATATGGCTTTGCTAATGATTCCTTCAAGATAGAATGTAAGCTTTACATTGGACATGGAGAATATAGGCCGACTATGTTTTGGCCAACCCTTGTAACGTCAATTGAATGCCATCCTAACCAGTGTATGAAGTAGCCACTGGCCCGCTAGCCTGTGGCAAGTAAAAATCCAGTCGGGCCAGTAAATCTCTACAGTCACTGGCACGACTGGCTTGTGAATTTTCATGAGGTCATTTTGTAAATATATCACTATATCTCCCTGACTTGTTAAGTTAAAACTCACTTCTAAATCATGCAAGATTATGGCCTGATAAAAATGTTCATGTCAGCAGCTTAGTGATGAAGCACGTGTCTACATTCAAATTTCAGACTAGTGAATTATTTTGTGAGCTTTCAGGCATAGCTAGCCCAACTTGCTAGCAAAATTTGGAAACTATTTTACACACTGGTCCTAACTCACCTCGTGCCACAATATTTGGTACAGATCTTCGTAAATGTAACACCTCCTTACAGAAACGATCATTAACTCTTTCCACATCAGGTGATTGGTGAAACCCCCCAAACCTCAGAACCATAGACAAGAACTTGAATTTTTTTTAAATCAAGTATATGACATAACATATGAACTGGTAAGTTATGAAAGTTATTGACTTTAGACTTGAAGCACTTGATGACCTTAGTAGCTTGGAGGGCGTTTTCAAAACTTGGAGAATTTTCTGAGCAATATACCAAGAGCCAGAAATTGAGAAATGTACTCCCAGGTATTTATAGGTAGGAACAATATCTATTATTCGACCATTAAAAAGGAATTTTGTAAAGCTTAAGTCTGCGGGGCCAGTGTCTATAAGCGAGCGTGGGTTTGCACAGTGAATACAAAGACGGTATAACATGTACGCTCAGCACTCGCAGTACTGTTACTGTCAAACCGATTCAGGGAACAAGTCGGAGCCTTTGCTTAATTCCAGGAAAAGCTGATGGGTGCTACTAAAATGGAATGGATTTTCCGATTCTGCAATTCAAAATTATGCACTGAACTAGCGCTCTATTACGTGTAAAATTGTTTTGAATTGAAAGTGTATCAATTTATTAACAGTTTTGATCAGTAAAAACACAGAATGTGTTTATATACTGAACAGCAAAAGAAACGCAAGTTTCGAAAAAATGAAATTTCATGAAGGTAAGCGTTCATGTTTATTGAACGTTTATGGTAAACTGACGTAATGATCCCAGATGAGATGATGTCATGCAATTTGACGTCCATACGAACCATTCCCACAAACACACCAACAGTGCAGCAAAACCTTAATTTTAGCACGTGCATCGACGGTTCTGGATGGAAAGCATGCATTTCACTCTGAGGTATTCCTTATAAAGGTTTGTGTCAAAAAAGAGTTCAGTATTGACGCTAGGAGGTGTAAACGCCACACAAATGATGCCTAGACTAACGACTGAGCAGAGGGGAATGGCCATTGGAAAGTTGCACGGAGGTAGCTCTGCAACCGCTGTAGCTAGACAACTGGGCTGTCATCTTACCACCATGACTTGCTCAACGTCATCAGCAAATCGGGGTTGCTGCTGATCGTCCCCGTATCAGACGGCAACGAGTGACAACTCATACGCAAGATCGGATCAGCCGGGTCACTTATCTAAGGAACCGAACTCAAGCAGCAACAGTAACCTTAGTTCTAGGGTCAAGGGGTACAGTGTCCAGCGATACGATTAGGCGTCGTCTTCGGGCTGCTGGAATCCACTGCCGAAGGCCATATGTGGGGCCAATTTTGGCACGTCAACAACGCCAGCGATCGCAACCCTCACACAGCAAGGGTGTTGATGGATTATCTTGCTCAGAACAACATTAACATCTTTCCATGGCCGTCTCTTTCCCGGATATGGCTCCCATTGAACATTCTGGGACGAAATTGGAGGGATGATTTGGGCAGATAGACAGCCACTCACACTCGCACAATTGGAATAGAGATTCGTGTTTGAGCGGAACCAATTGCCTCAGGCATTCTTTCAGACTCTAGTGAACTCAATGAGGCCACGTTGCACGTCCTGTGTGCAAGCTCAAGGTGGCTATACGCGCTACCAAAGAGACTGTCACTTTTCGCGTGATCAATTTGAACTTATTGCAATTCAATGTCAACAGCAACTTTCAGTTGTTAAATTGACAGCGTTTTCTATAGAATAAATGATCAGACATGATTTTGGTTGTCTTTTATTCAAAAACTTGACAAAACGCCAGACTTTCTTTTGCTGTTCAGTATATTAGCAATTTATTGAAAACTCGATTTCCGCATTAACTATGAAGTAAAGCGGAACAATTATTTCAGATTACCCACATGGTCACGTGGCTCCTAATTTGCTACAGCTGTGTTCATTGGTGATTTGGAATTGCCAAAATACGAGGAGACTAAGTATGATTGGCTGAAAGTTCATTTTGAAAAATCCAAGTGTATGTTATATTGAGAAATTTCACCTGAGAGACAAAATTCAGCCTGATTTAAAGGTGGGATGCGTTTGCGCATCCAACCAATAAGAGGTATCAAGCTGCCCAGTAAACAGTGAATTAATGAAACCATGAATTATAAACATCCTTCCACATCATGCTTATTTATTTACAGGAGGTATCATCGAGGTGTGTCAGTCAAGCTGCAGGTGAGGGACCTTGAGATGACATCTGCCTTCTTGGGCTCAGACAAACACATAACTCTGCAGGAAGCCGATTCAGTACTGAAGGGGCTGCGGCGAACAGATGCTGATACAACTTTGTATTGATATTAAAAACTTTCACTATGATAGTGGTGTATCTGCATTGACAAGTTTGCTTGCAGTTGTATGTAGATGAACGGAAATAAATTAAATGTCTCAAATGAAAGTGTTGTGCTTCTAGCATAGATTTTACATCACATGATATGATTTATTGGCAACTGTATACCAAGTATTACTATTTAGTGGAACATATTTAGTTCATTTGCCTTCACTGTAAAAACAAAAAGAAAATTGCCCATTTGCCCAGATTATCCCAGATACCAGGTGATTGATGTTGTGTACTTTAACTTTGATGTATGTTTTTACCTGGCCTTGTTCCAAGGCTGTACTGAATGCTGAGTCCATGGATGTATAGTAATTCGATCCTTCAAAGAGGCAAGTCTAGATTACCCAACAGTACAGCCTTGAGAAAAACAGAATTTTACCGACCCTGGTCTGAGCCTCATATGGCCAGCTGGAATGTCTGTGTCCCCCCTACACACTTCCAGGTTCCTGTCACATCGCCTTTTCCCTTTCTGATTAATAATGACCACAGACAGCTGGGAATATTAGTTCCCGAATCCCAAGTTCAACAAGACAACACTTGGTTTCTTAGCTCCTGCTTCCTCGTAATCATCTTTCATCAAGCGCTTCTCTTTTACTGTGAGATGTTTTTCTGAAATTACCTTCAGTGTTTCCTGACATATATGCTTTTAGGTTTTCTAATTTAGTTTTAATTGCTTGAATTTCTATGTGACACTTTCTACACACTATATGGGTGTTCAGTTCTGGAGAGAAACCAATACCTATGGGTGTTTCTAAAGGAAAACAAGTCTCCATCTTTTCCCTACCTCTGAACAATTGTCTTCCATATATTTCCCCAGGTAATACAAATACAAATATTTTGCTGCCAAGAGTCATGAACAACATTGTAAGCAACGAAGAGTCTGAACAGAACTGCCCAGATAAGGCAGTGGCCACACTACATGTTGATAAGTTGATAACAATATCAACATGGGTGTCCCAGTGCAAATCCGGATTTCACAAGTCTCTAAGGACCCAAGTCTGTTGTTTATTATTTTTTAGAAATTATCATTTAAACTATTAATTTTACCTTAGAGTCTTGTGCAAGTCTAGTTTTTACCCTTCTTTTGCCTTTGCTTGGCCCTATAGTTCATAAACAACTTTATTTGTGTCTCTCTTTCTTTTAAGTTTTCAATAATATGACTTCATCTGACAATATGGGGTAATAATGAATATCTATAATGCCAAATTCCACATCTGCAGATACACCACATTCAAGTCATTTCAGTGCGCCACATTCAAGTCATTTCAGTGCTGCCTTATAATCTTCACCATCTATTTGGTATTTTGGAATTTTGTTTTGTACAGTTTTCAATTTTGAGATGATATTTTTCAAAGTGTTGTCATGAATGCCAGTCACCAGATTAAATAAGTGTGGAAGTAGATGTGTCTCATTTAAATATACACATAAGCATTAATTAAACACCACCTCAATCCGAGGGCAATTTTTCTAAATTTGGACACAAACACCTGGTCATACCACTGCCTACTGGAATGCTCCTATAAAGCACATACTTAAATAACTCTGGAAAGCTATACACCGCATGATGATGTGATGCATATTCAGTATGTGCGCTACACTAGGATAAAACAACTACATTTTGTAGGAATGTGCGTCTAACACGTGTACAGTTTCATTAATTTCCAAAAAAGTTCCATTTAATCCAATAAAGGCTTGGATTTCTTAGGCCTTCTGTCGTGCAGACTTCTTGAATCCCAGCAAGTAGATCTACAGGAATTTGTATTCTTTACACTTTTCTGAGAAGTACTGAAAAAGTGAGTGAGTGAGTTACGATTTATAGTGGCATCGGTAGTATTTCAGTCATATCGTGACAAAACAAGTTATACATTAATAATATATGCTGTTGGACCCTGTGCTGTCAAAGGCCAGTAAAAGAAATAGATTATCACAGACTGTATAAAACGTTATCACGATATTAACCAGTACATGATAGAAACAGGCTATTGATTGCCAATAACAAGGTAGATCACCTGACTAAATTAGTACCATCGGGAGTAACAGTGCCTTGGCGATCTGCTTGGGCCCTAACGTGTGGCACGTGCACTTTGTGCACAATGAACTTGCTCACTTTTTGCATGCTTTTTGACATGATATTGAAAATTGAAGAACGGCTAATTATCACCCGCCGCGCGTTAAGCGCGAAGCGGGGTATATAGTATTAGGCTCCGTCCGTACGTACGTACGAATTGGAATATCTTAAGAATTTTCAAGGTCATGGCGACACTGAAGATTTCAGCATGTTAAGCTGCATGTAAAGATTGTCAGCAAGATATCTCAAGAACCATTCACTGGCCTTTCTTCATATTTGACACCAAGCTTCATCTAGGGAAGGTGCAAGTTCCAGTCGATTTTGGTGACCTTCACATAATTTTCAAAGTCACGGCGACACTTTGAAGATTTCAACATCTTAAACTGAATGTTAAGATTGTCAGCGAGATATCTCAAGAACAGTTCACTGGATTTTCTTCATAGACTTTCAAGACTTCCCTTGAATGTTTTTCAATAAGCAATTTCTTTGTTACTATTTTTGCATATTTCATACACTAAGACATTCATGTCAAGGTCAAAGTGAGTCTTGAAAATATTGTTGCGTTTGAACAACTACAGAGCAAGATATCAAGAGAGGTTGACTGGTCATGTTTTTGTTTACATTTAACTTCATCTTAAATTACGACCTTCACTTTCATTACTTTTTAAGTTTGATTTGATAATTTGCAGCGGGGGATTATGTCACCTTGTTCTCTAATCTTTCAACTTAAACTGCGCGTACGACATGCCACGGCTAACCGACAATCAGCTTCTGTGCGCCGTGGGTATGCTGGAGACTGTAATGGCCAAAATTAAAGTGGGCAAGCATTTTGGTGTCAACCGAAACACGATCTCATCTCCGGAGACGTTTTGAACATAATGGGAACACAAGAGATTTGCCTCGGACCGGCAAATGGTATGGGGATGCTTTTTGTTGGTTTGCAAATGGACCTCGTTGCCACTCGTGGTAACCTTAATGGGCCAGTCCCAACAGGAGACCTTCAGAGGGATGTTTGATAACCATACTCTAGCCATAAGAGCCATCTTTATGGGAAAGCACGTTGTCATCCAATTCTTGCACCAGATTCCAGACTCTCAGTGAATTGACTGCTGCTTTGCACGAGGAATGGAACTGGATTCCTCAGAATACAAGGAATGATGAGGCGTCTTGAATCAGTTGTTTGTGTGCAGGAAGGTTACTCAAGATACTGCTGGAAAGTCCAATTCAATACATTCACCAACGGAAACTATTTGATAAACTACTGAGAAAGTGCAAGAAATCATATCAGTAAGTGCAGTACGATAAATAAGCTTGTTGACTCATTTAATAATAATGACTCAAGACTGACCGACTGAGTTAGTTTTTACGTCGCTTTTAGCAATATTCCAGCAATATGACGGCGGGGGACACCAGAAATGGCTATCACATGTTGTACCCATGTACCTTCGGCGTGACGAGCGAACGCTTTAACCACCAGGCTACTCCACCGCCCCAGTGACTTAAGAGATTTCTGGAAGCAGATAGGCGATCCCACGTAAAGTATACTGTGATATAATTAAGGCATAGGTGGATGCAGAAATGTTCCCCAAAAAGGGGGGGTGTCAGTGTGATGATATTCTATCTGAAGAACAAAATGGTTTCAGAAAGAAGAGTTGCTTGGAACATATATATAGTTTAACAAGTATTATTAGAAACAGATGAAATGCTAAACAATCGACTTTCTGCTGTTTTATTGCTATGAACAAGGCATTGATAACGTCAACCGTGACTGTGGTTTAAAATAAAACTATATGGTATCACCGGTAAACTCCTGGACGCAGTGAGGTCCTTGCATAGAGATGTAAAATACACGGTTAGAGTAAATGGCCATCTGTCACCTTGGTTTAATGCACCTCGCGGAGTAAAGCATGGATGTTTCAATGAAAGAAATATCAGTGTACTGTTGTATGCAGATGATGTTCTGATCGCCCCCAGTGAGAAGAAGCTTCAGTGTTTACTAGATCATGTTAACTCCTGGTGTCATAAATGGCGACTAAGCGTTAATCCAAAGAAGACCAACATTTTACACTTCAGATCGAAGACTACAGCGCGTTCACAACAAGGTTCGCCATAGGGGACATGAATGTTGAATACAGTGACAATTATAGATATCTCGGACTCTGGTTAAATTTTAGATTTTACAGTTGCGATAAATGAACTGAGAAAGTCCGTTAGCCGCGCCCTTGGGGCTCTATGTTCCAACTATTTTTATGCTGGTGGTTTCACCTATGCTATTATTTACAAGTCTGTATGAGTCCCTTGTGCAACCAATAACATCTATACAGAAGCGCCATCTGGGGTATGTATGAACAAAAGCGTCTAAATACAATTCAAAACAGAGCCTGCAAATTCTTTCTGGGACTGAGCCGGAACTCCTCTGATATTGTTGCAAGGGGTGACATGGGGTGGACCGCCAGTGTAGCCAAACAGAGGCTAGTATACACAAGCCTGGGACGCCTGAAGAGTGTGCCCCGCCATAGACTACCAAGTTGTATCCATGGTTGGTCTCTCCACAATCCTGGAAAAACACATGTTTTTGAACTATCTAAAAATCTCAATGTTTATAAGCAAGTTAACAAATCTACAATAGTCATTACACAACTTCGAGGACAGCTGCATATTATTGATGTTGGTTGGCTTGGTTGACATATGCCATCTTTGCAATTCTAAGTATCACTTTCAAAGCTCTACATGGACAAACACCTGAATACCTCTCCAGTCTTCTGTGTCAGTACATCCCAACCCGACCATTACGATCCCAAAATCACCAGCTACTTGTCATTCCTAAAGTTCGACTCTCATCCAATGGGAAAAGATCATTCCAACACGCAGCCGCCAGTCTCTGGAATAACTTGCCCACTCACATCAAGAATGCTGAATCTTTGGACACATTTAAATCGTCTTAGTCTGTCTCACAGTCCCTGAACCACATTATTTTCCCTACTGCC